CTGATCACTCCTCTTTTTCCCTCCTCAAGAATATCAGCTGTTTGCCTTCATCAGCCACATGGGCACTTCCACTATGTGTGGCCACTACGTTTGTCACATCAAGAAAGATGGCAGGTAAGAGGGACTTTCATAGGATAAGGGGACCCCAAGGTAGGGTCTTTTATATCACTGTCCTCCCCTGTTTCTTCAGGGGTCTTGTGGGGAGGGGGATGGCAACTATTAGGAGGAGGAGAGCAGGCAAGGAGAATCAGATAGTCTCATAGCAACAGAACAGCGTCCCTGAGCTTCCTTTCTGCCTCTTGCAGGTGGGTGATCTACAACGACCAGAAAGTCTGTGCTTCTGAGAAGCCCCCCAAGGATCTGGGCTACATCTACTTCTATCAGCGGATCCCCAGCTAGAATACCCTCTTGCTGTGTGTGGAGGGGGGAAAATGGGCTGAAGGCATGGGGGGATGGGGTGGAGGGCAGTGAGGATAAGAGCAGCATCCTTCTCTCCCCTGCTGCTCTTTACCTACTCTTCCCTTTAATGGCCTCTCTCCGTGTGTGCCACCGCTGCAATGTGGAGGCAAGAGTTCTTTGACTAATACACTGGGGCTGGAGCCCCCGTGGACCTGAGTGAACGGGGTTTGGGGGGGTGGGGAGGGGGGAATATCTGTTTCTATAGGAAATGTCCTCACTATCCCCACCACCTCATGACACACACAGCCCTAGTGCTTTGCTGCTTAGTGGGATGATGCCACCTCCTCGTTGTCTAGAAGAGGAGGAGGGGCTTGTGTGTATGCGTGGCTTGTATATCATGGGAGGACTGCTCATCCTCATCCTCCCAGGAGAGGAAGCAGTGCAGGAAGCAGCATGGGCCATGAGCAATGCCCCCTCCTTGTGTGCCCTTTACATGCCAAAATACACGAAGGATAAAATAAAAATCTAAATACCCCCCTGGTTTCTGTCTGCTCTGTGTATTGTTAGGTGTTCTCCAAGAGCTGAGGTAGGTCTGAGCTCTTCTGTACTTTGAGCAGAGGGTACATAGTGCTGGTGTGGTCCTCCTGCCTATGGATGAAAGTGGCCTGTGCTACTCTTGTGTAGCAAAGGCACCTTGTGTGGCTAGCTCCCTGGTCTGGTTGCCCACTGATGCTGCTGTAGCAGTGACTCTGCCTCCTCCTCCCCCTTCCATCCCTGCTATGTCTGCTTTTGAGTGCTGTAGTGAGGACTAAATACATAATCCCTGCAATCAAAGAGCTGCTGGCCGTGGGTGACGTGCTGCTGGGGGTCACCTTCTGTCCCGGTTCCCTCTGTGCTACTGCTGGTAGGCCTAATGCGTTTTTCCTCAAGTGTCAAAATACTGTAGGAAAGTGACTGATTTCATATTTCCTTTTAGAAATGAAAGCTGCTATGATCTGAAGCTGCGACATTAGAAAAGTGGCAGGGCCTTACATGTTTTAGCGATCAGCATGGCCGTATCCTGTACGTGTCCCGGGTTATATATTTCTCTTCCTTTACAGTGCAGTCCTGCACCTCCCACTCCCTTTCTTGGCCTCGTGCTGTCTCACTGCATGCCCCACTGAGCAGGGACAGAGGCCTTTTATGTTTATGCCCTGCGGCAGAGCAGGGCCTCCCGTCTCTGTACATCGCTGAGCAAGAGGCTGAGAAGGGGGAGTTTGTTCCGGGCCCCAGGACCAGCAGCAGCTCCCGCGGACACGCTGCTAGCACGGGGGTGGGAGCTGCCCCTGCCTGCGCCCCGGCGGCGG